GCGGGGTCATCCCGGAGCCAGCATGGCCCCCCATCGCTCAGGCCTTATCAGCCGCAGTCTGACAGTTCAGAAGCACAGCTGGAGGGCGGGGCCCCTGAGGGGGTGAGTCGGGCCCCAGGAGGACCCCCCCCCTCCATCCCGGCTGGCCGAGTTATGACTGTCCCCTGACCGCTGATAAGCGCAGCGAGGTCTCACCGTGGAGCCCACGCCGTGATTTAAGCAGCCGGTGAGATAAGCAGGGCGGTATTTAAATCAGTCTGGGACCTGTTTACTCCTCTCTGTACATGGTGGTCCACCACCAGCTCCCAAAATGCACGCTCTTCAAACAAATCCAATTACCGTGTGACCCTCAGTAATTCTGTGCCACCATAACTAATTACCTCTCTTGTCCACAGTGGGCATTCACCAAAGCGGCCGGACTGGGGGAGGGCGTGGGGGGGCCAGGCGGTGGGGTGGGGCTCTGTGGCCTTTCGGAGAAGAATAAGTGGTTTGTGTAGAGTGTGTATGGGCTGTGAGGGTGTGTGTGGACCTCACAATCGCTGGGGTTGTCCTCCGTGTAGACAGACAGCGGTTGACTTATCGTCAGGCCCCTGAGTGCGGCTATTGTGGAGCCCCCCCGAAGGGGACCCCCCCACACTGCTGCTGTGGCCCCGTTTAGCACACGTGCTGCCTGAATACTGCATTCTTCGCTGCGTGACAGCACGCTAAGGGACGGTTCGCCGCTTACAGACGTGAATTAGCGGCGATGCTCACGCTAATCTCTGCAAACCCCCCCCCCCCAAGGCTCAATTTAAGAAACCAGGGGGGGGGGGGGGGTTGATAAGATCCCCATTTGGAATGCAGGACATCGGCGTCACGTAGGACATGGTGGTGCCTTTACCCCCTCCCCCGCCGGTTTGGGATAATGTGGGGGATTGCTTGACCCCGCCCCTCATCACCATGCTGAACTTGAGGCTCCTGCCCCATCTCAGTATTAACGGTGCCCCCGGTGGTTATAAATAACTCAGTGCTGCTGTACTCATACATGGAGGCCGTCTGTCCGTCCTCTCAGCTGAACCTGACGCATTTCCACTAGCGCCATCCGCAGGTCGCTGGGGGGCCCTGCTGCATTTCTTTTCCGTAAATGACACTTGAATGTGCTCTGTAACACACCCCGTGTGACAATCCCACATGGAATGGGAACCTGAATTATTCTGCCTCCCCCCACCAGACCCCCACCCCCCATCGCCCCCAGACAAGTTGGAAACCCCCCCCCCCAAAACAGTCCCACTTTGGTGCCACTCTGATAAAGCATTAAGGCACTGTCAGTCACAGTGGGGGGGGGGGGGTGTCCCACTAGAGGGAAGCGAGGAGGACGAGTGAGATTAGCTGGAGTGTTTTTGTGTGAATCCCCCCCCCCAACCTATCCCCACCCCCCCCTTTGATTACCCGACAGCGGGTCCCAGCATCAGATAAGGGGGGAACCTCCGCCAGCTCCTGAGTTGCCCGGAGACCAGCGGGGGCCCGAAGCAACTTATCACAGAGCCGCCGTCGCCATGGCGACAGACGCTCGCTGCACTGAGAAAAACAACATAATACTTACTTAAGATAATATTTTAGCAGTCGAGAACTTTCTTTCTGTTTTAATGCTGTCTGTTAATTTCTGGCATTGGTGCTCCGTATACTGACGTAATGATGTGCAAATTATTTTGATGCTGCATTAAAATTGAAGGGAACCCGAGGTGTGGCCTCATGTCATGTGACAGTCAATGATCTGCTACTTACATGGCTGTTAAACACACGGCACGTTTTTTTTTAAGAAAGTCAGTGTGGGAGGTGAGGTCTTGGCCGATCCACCATAGTGATGGAGTTTCCTTCGTGTACAGACGCCACGTTCCGCCTGGCTCTGGGTAGCCTGTCAAAAAAGAAAAAACGAGTCTGAAAAGCCAGCTAATAGCTTAAAGCTGTTGATACTTTGACTTCAGAGCAGAAGGACACATTCTTGCGAGTCTACCGGTAGGACCCTTATTGCTATTAGTGAAATTACACTCGCACAATTACAACTGCAGGCCTGCCAGCTTCCCTGAATATCATGTGACGACGTCCTGAAATATCCGTGGGGACAAGAATACATTTGTGGGGCGAAAGCAGAGTGTAGGCGTCCTTTGATGTCACCGGGCTGATGACGAAGATCACCCACAGCTGTTTTAGCGACTTTCTTTGTGAAATAGATGTTAAGATGCATTCTTTAATATTTCTTTTTTTTTTCTTCAGAATGTATTTTTTCCAAAACAGTACAAGGATTCTTTTTTTCTTTTTTCTGGTGCTGCAAGCATACATATATATCTAGATATACTATCAAGACAGTAAAATACACAAAGACAGCTACACAAAGCAAGAAACAGAACAAAAATACTGAATAAATAATGTTTACAGTGTCCAGGTAATTATCATGCTACTAATTTGTGAAGAATAAGGTCTTTTCCTAAATGTGTTGCTATTGAAATAGTACATTGCGAATAATAAGATCGGCTTAGTAGGGCTCTTCCAACTACAGATAAATAAACGTCGGTAATTAGTGATTTAACCCTTTGTAAGAGTCAGTTATGATTCAGCAAAGATATGGAGAACGGCTTGCCTGTGGGAGGCGCTGTGCTGAGGTGGACAGTGATGCGTGTGGAGGAGGACGCCTCATTCCTGACCGTCTGCCACAGAGCCGGCGGAGGCGCTGCGATGACCCGGTCAGGGAAAGGCCATCTCCCTTCCTCCCGTTTCCGGGCTGAGCTGCTGGGGTGTTGCAATGGGACCTCCCACTGACAGGGAGTGCACCTCCCGGACCATGCGGCCCCTGGCAGTGCCAAAAAACGTTTTTACTCTGAAGGAGCACCATTAATCTTTGGAAAAAGTCGCCGTTTGAAGCGTTGCGCGGGGCGGAAATTGCCGGGCTATTTTCTTGAAAGTGAACGACTGGATTCGTGGCGCACCACATGCCAGGAGATCTCACCTGAGACTCTGAGAAATTGGGGGGGGGGGGGTATCATGCTTGAGGCCCCATCGTTTAAACCCCAAAAACAGTCGGATCCACTTTTCGTTATTCAGCCGGCCATAATGCACGCTGAAATATGTCCGCCCCGGTCTCTGATCCAAAAGCCTTATCTTGGCTCTCTGAAATAGGCCAAAACTGGCTATAAAAGCACATTTCGTGAGCCCTGAGCAATGAACACACAGCTCTTGGCTGATCTGTACACACTGCGTCCGGTGAGAGCTGAGATAACGGTGGATTTTTTTAGCTATTAAAGTTGGCAAGGGACCGGGCTGCCTGGTCAGTCCCGGCTCAGGGCCCTTGTAGCTGCTAGCATGCTGCTGAAGTATCTCCCCTACGTGCAGCACACGCCGTAATGAGCACACAACGTGTGTACCCCGGCGTGGGGGTCACCAATCAATAGGGCATACCCCCCCCCCCTTTGATTCATGTCAACAGGCAGAGAAGAGGAAGGGGGGGCTTTAACGACTGGGCCCAGTAGGACTCTTATCCGAAGGCTGAACACGTTGTGCTTTTTGTTTGGTCACACTAAGTAATATCGAGACACAGCTGTAAAAAGTAAATAGAAAAATAAAATGGCAGTAGCCAATGAGTCCCTGGTCGCTGCGAGCTGGGGTTAGGGCCGTCTTATCCCTGTTTCCAATCCCAGGACCGCTTCCTGCGGAAATGTGATTGCGGGGGGCCACAGGCCTCCTTGACTGGCCTGAAAGCGGCCAATAAACCGGCTTTTATGGTCCGGCATCTCAGCCGCACCTTCATCTCTCAATTGGAGGAGACAGTGCCCCCACGCGAGGGCCGTGCTCGTTTTTACGTGCCAGGTCTGGGAAAGCGTGCCCTGCGGCGGCTGAGCCGGTCTCGAAGTGCGCTCCCTTCCAGAGCGCTGTTCACATCGGCCCAAGTCACTGCAAGCCCTGGTATTTTTAAAAATTTAGTTTGGCTGTGAGGGTTCTAGGGTATTTCAGTCATCTCTGTTTTTGATCATCTTTAACTG